CGGCCGCCCCTCTCCTCTCCTCAGCCGCCCAGCTCTCCTCCTCTGTTGGATGGGGATTTTCTCTCAGGACCACTCACCTTCCCCAGCCTCGTCCACGCCAGCGCTGAAAACCGAGGGAACCTTCACCTCCCGCCGGCGGCATTCAAACAGGCTCCGGCCTTGGGAATTCTCAGGGGCTTTAGGTCTGCAGAGGGACCGGACGCGAGACCCTCCGGACCGCGCGAGCCCGCGGCGCCACTAACTCCGCGCACCTGCGCTGGCGGCCGGGACTAGCGTTCCGCGGAGGGCGACGCAGCCAGCAGCAAACTTCGGCTGCCTCAGCGGACCCCGGGCTCCCCGTTTGCAGGAGCCGTGTGCCAGAAGGCGGGGGACCCCGCGGGGGGCGACGAGGAGCCCCCGGTCTTCCCTGCCCTGCCCGCGAGGCCAGCCGGAGCCGCGGACCGAGCCGCGCGGGACGCAGCAGCAGGGGCGGCTGGAGGAAGATGCGGGGCTCGGGGCCCCGGGGCGCGGGACGGCTGCGGCCCCTGGGCAGCGGCGGCGACACCCCCGGCACCCCCGCGTCCCTGGCCGGCTGTCACTGTGCACATCGCAGGGCCCCCCTCTGGACGTGCCTTCTCCTGTGCGCCGCGCTCCGGACCCTCCTGGCCAGCCCTAGCAACGAAGGTAGGGAGCCGGGTGGGGGCCGCGGCGACCCGGGCGCAGGGGCGAGGCGGGGCCTGGGAGTGCGGTCTGGACGCCGCTGCCCTGGACTAGACTCACTCCTCTGGAATCAGCATCGTGGCCGCTCGCGCCGGCCTCTCCGCTCCGTCTCTGCTGGCCCCGGAGCATTGTTTGACATTAGCCGAGCTAGGAACGTGCGTGTGGACAGAGGCCGGCTGGGGGGCTGGGAAGTTGCAGAGCGGCGGGGAGAGGGGCTCCGAGGCCGCGCCGGGGGGCTGGGTGCGGCTGGCTGTCACTTCAGGCGCTTGAGGAAGTGGCATTTGGGATTGAAGGAGTGGAAACCGTTAGAAGCTGAGCGAAGAGGATTTTGAGAGAGCAGTGGGGCTTTTAGAAACCGTTATCTGAGGCGGGTGATGGGTGACGTTGTGGGGGTGGCTGGAGGCTTTTATTTTGGGGGAAAGTGCCTGCTGGGAGCTGTTATTTAGGGCATCACTAACTGCTGTTCTGGGGTGGGTGGCGACACATTCTGTTTCTCGTGGGAGGGGGATGGCTAAGACCAGAAGGAGCCCCACACTGATGGGTGCCCTTCTTGTTGGGGAATTCATTGTCACACTCGGGCTGAGGTTGAAGGAGCGAGGTGGGTGCCTCGGGAGGAGGGGCGGGGGAGTGGCGCTGCTGGGAAGTTGCTGCTGGAACCAGCCCGGCTCGCTTTGGCAGCCACCAGATTCTGGGGTACCCCGCTCCCCTCGCTATCCCCAGGCAGTGGGCTCCGGATCCAGAAGACTGTGCCCACCCCTCTGGGATCACAGGGCCGGCGCGGGAGCAGCTCCGGTGTCGCTGTCCGTGCCTGGCCGGTGCTCGGCCCTCCGCCCGCCCGCCCCTGGGCCCTGAGACCTCAGCCCGCTCGGTTCCAGCCGCGCTCACTCCTCTCCCGCACCCAGACAGCGCTCGGATCTCGGCTCCAGGGCGCATTTCCCGCGGGAGAGGAGGGTAGCAGCATTTCAGATTACAATCGGGGCTGGTGGGAGCTGTCAGCTCCCCACGAATACCTGAAAAGCTGAACCCCGTGGCTGCAAGGCTGGGGTTTGGATGTGGAGCTGTGGCTGCCACGCGTGAGGCTCAGAAATCCCTTCCACTCCTGGGGCGCGAGACGCTGGCCCGGAACGACGAAGCGGCAGCGCTGGGGTCCTGTGTCCTGTGACTTGCACGGGCTCAGGCTGGCTGGAGGCCACGGCGCTGGCGGGGGTCCCGGGCGGCCGGCTCCAAGGACCCCGCGAAAGCGGTCACATGGCGACCCCCTCCATCCCGGGAACTTCCTCTCTCAGTAACCCCTGACTCTAATTAAAGGATTACGCGAATCTATCCATCTGTCTGTAGATACGTGATTTTGCAAGGCTGAGCCAAGCAATTTGCATTTCCCCTTCCAGTAAAGTTGAAAAATGTTTTCTGGAGTCTTAGGCCTTTCATTAACGTATTACGCTAAATTCATCACTTAAATTCATTCTGTTAGAAGTCCGGAGGATCATAGCGAGGTTAGAGATCCTTTGATTAACTCTCTGATTCCACCGAAAGGGACATCCTGGTTTGAATTTAAAGGGGTCTAACACTGTATCCCTCATCATTTCGTGTTTCTCTTATATGAATCTCTTTTTCTCCAGGTGTAATGGGGCTGAAGGACTTAGAGATGAAAGGGAGTCGCCCTGGGGTGGAAAATGGGAAGAAGTGACTTCTGGGGTGGGCGACGTTAAGCAGGACCTAGGGCCAAGATTGAGGCAGAAGAGGTGAGGAAACAGCGCGGGGGCTCCTAAAGTGTCCAGAGCAGAGCTGGGGTCTCCAGGAGCAAAGCCTGCCTCGGTTGCAGATTTCAGGCCCCAGCTTGTACTGTCTTCCTCAGCTGGTCTTCTCACAGCAAAACTTGGGGTAGAGTAAGATGGGGGTTGGAGGGGATCTGACAGAAATTGAGCGCCAGAATAAGAGCGTGCGTGCTGTGTGGGCACGCGCATTTTGTCACATGTACCTAGGAATAAAATCTTATTAACATCAATGGCATTATCCATTCATTACATCTCTGCTCAGCGCACTTTCCTGTATTTTTTACTTGGTATCATCCCCAACCTTTTATTTCTGTTTTTCTCTGAAATTTACTTTCTTTTTTTCTTTTTGTTTCTCCATGCTATTGCTATAAATCGAACATCAAAATATATATTTTAGCAGCAGTCTATGTTTTAACATTTATTTAGGGATTAAGATCGGAATTTCAGTCTTTGTTTATTTATTGGTTTATTTTTTCTGGAGAGATTTTGGAAGGTCAGGAACAGATTTGAGGTAGGTGCTGAATTAATTAACAACGTACTGTCACATATAATTTGCTTTCTGCAATAGATGCTTAGTGATTTCCCAAACTATACGATGTACATACACTAAATATGTGTAGAACATGAATACTCCCAGGATGTGTACGGGGTACATGTGGAGGCAGAAATAATCATGAGTGTACTTCCATAATTGGTATTCTAGATATTTTTAAATTTAACTTTATGCAGAAAAAGCAAACCTATATCTAGAGTCGTGAATAAATGTGAAAATTATTTAGAATGTTAGACTATATTCAATATTAGAGAATAAAATGCAAACTTAATCTCTAGCCTGAATTTGTAAGTATAAGATATACATGTCTTTAGTTGTTTATTAATTATTTAGTGTATTAGGCATAAACTGCATGTGGAAGAAATCTTTGATCTACAGTGTAATACACAAAACTTTTCTTATAAAAGAATTCAGAAGAGTATCTGGCCACCACCATCTCATTGATCAAGGGGAGCAAACATTGGCAAGTGTTTCAACAAGTCGAAACTTTAATGCATTTAATGAGTGAGGCGTGCATGTCCACGGTTATGAATTTTGGAGGTGGCCCTCAACTTATCCAGTAACTGCCACTTTTTGCTGTCTGGAGATATATTTGTAAACAAGCATTATCTGACAAGGGCTTTTCGCAGCAGGGATTCTTGGCCAATTACTGCTGTACAGCTCTGCATTGAAAATGATTCACCCGCAGTGAATCAAGCTTAATTCATTGACACTACAGTCAGAAACGTCCCAGTAAAGAGCTCCTGTTAGTTGTCAGCACTCTGTGTTTGAAAAGTCCTTATGTTTTTATGTTTGAGAAGGGGGGTGGAAGGGCATAGGAGAAAAACACCCAAGAGGGAAAAAAAAAAAAAAAACACGAGAGGGAAAAAAAATGCTGAATTGCTTAAAAAAATTCATAAAATTGTAGCTGTTCTCACTGGAAAGAGAGCAGAGGGGAACAAAGTTTGTGCTTAGGCCTTTTCTTGGTTTATAATAGGACCAGGCCCATAAAACAGATTGGAGGACATAATGGATTTGTAAAACAAAATGACTTTATTTTGTGGCCTTGTCATCCTGTTGTAATTCATTTCCTTTTGGATAAGTCCGCAGGACCCCACAGAAAAAAGAACAGTAAAATCACTTCCTCACCAAGACACCATACAGGAAGAAAAGAGAGCCATTGCTCCTATTTAAATCACAGATCGTGGGCACTGCAAGGGGACAAGAAGAGTTTGGCTTTTTTTGCTTAATAAACCATGAAAAAGAGGGTGCTGGGTCTTGACACGTTAAGCTTTTTTGAGGTAGACAAAGATCATCTTGGGTGTCAGCGTGACAGATAAGATTTTATGGCCTCCTGTAAGACAGAGAAGGTGGTGGGCAATTCATTCCTGCATTTGCAATGGAGATTTCTCCTTGATTGGAAAGATTCTGGTCCTATCATCATCTGAAATACTGTAAATCCTTTATTCGAGTTCACATAGGATACAGTTGGTCAGAAGACTTCCTTTTTTATACTGAAAAAAGCATTAATTACTATTACATATATTATTATTTTGCTCTGCAAAATGTGACCATTTAAAGTTTTTTTGTAACTTTACATAAAATGTCAAGATGAAACGATGTAGCTATTTATAGACAAACATTCCCAAATTATTTAATTAAATATTTTGTTCAGTGTTGGTTGTTGCTGTGGGGAAAATGACTGCGCTTTAGTTATTTCCAGGACACTTTCCTTGAGTGACTCCACCACTTGGATCTCCTTTGTTTGGAGAGATTTTTTGACTTATTTTCTTAAATAGCCAATTTATTTCTCTGTCTTTTGGAAGAAACCTTTCTACTTTGGACTGTAAAATTAGAATATAATCTATATGATTATATTAACTAATTATAGCTGTTATTCCTTTTATATGTCAAATTCAATGTTCTTTATAAAAAAATTATACTATTCATATTTTGAAGAAATAAACACTGTAAAAAGTGTCAACAATGTCTTATACATTTTTCCGTTTAAGTTAGCAGATAGAGCCCACTTTATTATAAATAGCTTGAGTTAGTCGTGGTACCTAATGATCCAAAAATTGCTACATTTTTAACAAATCTGAAATGGTTTTGCAATGGTTTTCATAAAACATCTAAATTAGTTGACATTTTAAACATTTAGCTTTGCTTACTAATCATTAAAAATGGATTTTAAAAGTTGCCTTTTTTTCTTTTAAGAAAGTGTGAATCGTGATTATGAAAGCCGGGGGTGGGGGGAGCTGGAAATGTAAATTGTTACCTCGCAGTCTTGGCGTGGATCTTGTTCTAGTTTCGCCTGGTCAGTAGGATTTGTGATCAGTAGGATTTTTTCTAAGGGATTCATCCAGTTCATTGTGCACATAGACAAACCTAATAGGGTAGTTATTTGACTTAAAAAACTGGTTCACATGTGTTTCTATGGGTGTATGTAAAGGTAGATAAAAAGCAAAATGAGTTGGGTGGCACCTGTGGCTCAAGGAGTAGGGCACTGGCCCCATATCCAGAGGTGGCCAGTTCAAATCCAGCCCCAGCCAAAAACTGCAAAAAAAAAAAGGCAAATGAGTTGGAAGGACTTTATAAGCACATTCTGAAATGTTCATAGTTTTTAGAAATAATCCTAAAGTAATTATTAATAGTAG